TTTTTTTTTTTTTTTTTTTTTTTTTTTTGCGGTAAAAATGTCAAATGCAACATGGAGCGACTATAAATGTAACGTTTCCCATTTTGTTATTTTACCAATGGCTTTCCTATCCCCCCACTGGACAGGTCGGCCCATACCCTTCCCCTGCCCCACCTTTTTCCCCTTTCTCCCTTTTCCTCTCCGCTTACACTTTTGCTCCTCATAATCATCTCCCCGTACCAAGAAAACTCGTGCGCGCTCAAGACATGACAGGCAGCTTTGGAATCACTCCACAATAACTGTTTAAATTCAGCCTCTTTCTCTGTAATTCTCGTGTTTTTTTTCATATTCTTTCCGGGGAATATTTTCCGAGGAATCACACGGTTCAGCGCAAGGGACAACAATGGCGGATCCTTACGGAGTAAACCCTCACCACTTGCTCGAATCGGATGACATGACTTCCTTCCTGCACAATTTTCTCCGAGGCTCGTCTGCTTCTTCTTCCGCTGCAGCCGTCGGTCTCTATGGTCGCCCGTCGACGGAAGGTTCCGTCATGGAGTCCGGTATGAGGGGCGGATCTCCTGCTCCTCCGTCGTCCGGCCTCAATTTGTCGAATCATTTCGGATTCTACGGAGCGGAATTCAAGGGAGGTGATGCCGTGAACGCATTTTCGGCCGCCGGAATCGCCGATTGCGAGGCGGGGATCATCACTTCTTCGAAGGGGATTGAGTTCGGGAGTGAAGACAAGGTCGACGACGATTTCGCTTTTAGTTTTGAGGTGATTTCTGTTTGTGATTACTGCTTCAAATCTTCAATGATCAAAGCTTTTACTCTAATGTATATGTGTAGTATGTTTGAGTAATAATCATCAGTAATTTCTCAGGACTGTGAAACTTCAGATGCACCAAGTAACCAGGCTCAACGGCGTTCTTCCAAGAGGAGTAGATCAGCTGAGGTTCATAACATGTCGGAAAAGGTCCGATTTCTCTCAAATTTTTTACTGATTTGGACTCAGAATATGATATAGAGGATGTTCATTTAGATTTTAATGCCTAAAAATTATGTGGACAGAGGAGGCGGAGTCGAATCAATGAGAAATTAAAGGCACTGCAGACCTTGATTCCGAATTCGAACAAGGTATGGACAATCAGAAACTCGTCGATTTCTATGAACCTCTTTCTCCTTGCTTTTGCAGTGTAGTAGTGCAGGGTTCCTTAGTCCTTTTTGTTGTGTTCTTTGGATGTGACAGACTGATAAGGCATCTATGCTTGATGAAGCCATTGAATATTTGAAGCAGCTTCAATTGCAAGTCCAGGTACTGCTATATCCTTCTACATATCGTTAACTCATTATTGATTGATTGAGTGCATAGGATTAATGGACATTGCTGGCCTTCTGTATATTGATGGAAAGGATAAAAAGTGTTGTTTTAGAGATCGTGAAGAAAGAAAATTGTCCACAATATCCTTGCGCATGTAGTCCCATAGATCAACAACAACAACAAAGTAGGGTCTGAGAAGGGTGTGTGTATGCAGACCTTGTCCCTACTCGAAAGTAGAGATACTGTTTCCAAGTGTAGTCCATAGATCATTGGTCATTATTAAGACTTAAAATTTATTCATATAGAAAATCACAGCGTTGTTTTTAAGGTTGGCTTGTTATTTTATATTTTCCTGACATAGTTGAATATGTTTGGTTTGCAGGTGTTAACAATGAGGAACGGATTGAGTCTGTATCCATCAGGTTATTTTCAGGGATCGGTTCAACTTCCTCCATCTGGGAGCAGATTTGATGAGAGTGTAATTCCAAACACAAATGGAGCACCCAATTTTTCTGGGATCCATGAAATTTCGTTGGAGAGGGGTTTCGAGAATTCCCATCAAAATATGAGGAACAACCCAAGTCCGGTACTTGTCTTTGATGAGACGCCGATGCAGAATAATCACTATGGGTTTCTTAACCATTTTGCTCCTACAAAGGTAAAATCTTGGCTCAACGAAATGCCGTCTATATGTGATGATTTCCCACCTAGCAAATTATGAACTTGGCATTTTAACTCATTTGCCTCAAATGGCTGCAGGATCTGTGCAGAAACGATGCACTGTCAAGGTTGCACTTAGACATGAGCTGCTCCGGGAATAACTCATCACCAGGTGTCTCATCTTCTTAATAAGCAAATTAATCAATATATTGCCAACTCATAACTTCAGCTAAATCTCACCAAAGCAAACACCAACATAACTCAGCTCTCTAACTGGTGAGCTCAATCAGTCCATCTCATGTGCCAAATCAAATTTAGTACTTTTGTCTTTCGCAAACAGCCTCTCTATCTTTCCATAGGGTAAAGGTAAGTTCTGCGTGCGCCCAGCCCGACCCCACGTATGGGAATTTGATCACTGGGTATGTTGTGGTTGTGATGTTGTTGTGTGCTTGTTGTATGTGTCTTTCAAGATATGTGTTTTTCATATTTGTAGATTCTGTCTAATGTCATGCAAATGAAAGAGCACATTTTCAGGTTGGTGCTTGTATTTAATCCCAAGGCTTTGTTTGGTACTACTGTATGTCCCTTGTATCATGTACGGAATATAACTTATAAGTCTTAGTTTTACTTTTTGCAGAGTTTCAAGTAGGTCTAGAATTTGTTGGATTTTTTCCTGTATGGGATAGACTCAACACACACTTTCTGACACCCCCTTAAGTGGTAACTAGCCTTAGTTACTACTTGGATGAATGAGGTCGTCTTTCGTCTGCTTGATCTAATATGATTTGATTTTTTAAAGATCTAGTCTGATCTGATTATAATTATATTTTTTGCTCTGATGTAGTGTGATTATATTTGATCTAATTTTAAAAAGAATAAGTAATAAGTAAAAAAAATAAATTGAACCGAAAGACTCTCAGTTTAGCATCTCTTTTTCTTATTAAGAGACCAAAGACACGACATTAGAGTAAAAGTCATAAACGTTGATTATGGAAGCTTAAGAAAAAGCTGTCTATTACGTTCTCCATTCTACGGAGAGTTAATTCTACGGTAAGTTTTGCCTTCTATTGTAGAGGAGAGTTAATGTTATATGGAGAAATAGTTTTTTTTATACATGGATTCTTATTATACTCGGTATTCGACTATTCGTTATTCATAACATTTACATTTTTACTTGAACTTTTTACATCCAAAACTTACCGTAGAATTAGAAGTTACTACAACATACTATCCTCCCAAAATTCAATAACAATAAAAATTGTTTTGTAATAGATCATGAGCCACTCAGCTCATATTTTTACTTAAATTAGAAGTATAAAATGTTAGAAATTTATTTGGAGGATGAACGCTGCGAAGCAGGTTGACAGAAAGATGAACGAAGAAACATATGAATTACTTGATAGTTTAACGAATCGCGTAAACGCTTTCAGATCTAAGTTATTTTGGGATATACCAAAATACTTTAATCAGATACGACGCTACTCAAGAACAAGCATTTCGAATTAGTTCCTCAACCATACTAGCGAGACCCTTTTTTATAGAGTCAAAATTTTGAGATCAGACATGAACGTTCGCGTAAAGATGTGAACGTTCTCACGTAGAGATAGACACGAAAGTCCTATAAATGTTCACGCGAAGAGTTTTCTGTGGTTTTAGGGCCAGTTTTGACGTCTTATCCATACGTCCGAATCTTTAAGGTTTTTGACTCTGTTTAAAAAAATATGAAGAATTTTCATAAAATAATAATATCCAAAATAAAGCTCGACCCCAGCCAGGGGCTCTACCCCTTGGACCCCGCTATCGGGGGATCCCACCCTTGGACTCCTACTATGAATTGTAATATCGTTGAACGAGTGCGTATTACGTGTCTCCTAACTCGTTTGACAACGTCTATTTAAAATTTTGTCTGATTTAAGCAAATTAATCACATAAAATAATCGATGACTCTAAAATCACTAGCATAAATTTAATTTGGATTGTTGTGAAATATTACGAGGATGATATTTACTTTATTTATGGTGTGTTTGGTTTGGCATAAAATATTTTTCGAGAAAATTTTAATTTCATTTTTCCGTGTTTGGTGACATTAGTAGAAGGAAAATATTTTCCAGGAAAAATATTTTCGTTCAATGATGGGAAAACAAATTACGTCAAAAGATCGAAGGAAAATATTTATTATCTTTCCGCTTTATCCTCCAAGTCCCCCAACCTCTCTACCCCATTTACTTTTTTTCATTTTTCGGTTTTAAATTTAAAATTCAAAATTTAAAATATAAAATTTGAAATTTGAAATTAAAAATATAAAATATAAAATAAAAAGTTTAAAATATAAGATTTAAATACTAAAATTTGAAAATTTTAAGAATTAAAATTAAAAATAAAAAATTAAAAATATGAAATTTAAAATTTAAATATTAAAATATTAAAATTAAAGTTTTAAATTAAAAAATAATTTTTAAATACCTAAAATTTAAAATTCAAAATAAAAATTTAAAATATAAAATTTAATATATAAAATTAAACATTCATGAATTATAAATTTAAAATCATAAATTGAAAATGTTTATTTTTAGATTTTAATTTTATACTTATATATATATATACACACACACACACACACACATACACACACACACACACACACACACATATATATATAGCTATAGTATATTTTTCAAATGTTCAGTTTTTATTTTTTCCATGTCACTTTTTTTGTGATTCAGAATCATTATTATTTTTTACTTATTTTTAGTATAAATAATACAGAGTATAATTTTATTGATATTTTTTTTAAATTTACATGACACTAAATGATGTTTTAAAAATTAGGAGTATTTTATTAATCTAAATTGACCTGAAAAACATCATTATTTTAAATTAAATAATAACCGTTATACTACTCCCTTTGTTCCTAATTAAATGACATGCACAATATTCACGTGGATGAATTTTATTCACTTTCTTAATCTATTATATATGATAGTTGTAATAAAAACAATGATAGTAATAATAATAATAATAATGTTAACAAAAACAACAATAAAAATTATAATAAGAATGATATATAAAATACATTTAAATAAGTTTTCAATTTGTTCTAATTTTTTTCAGTTTTTCATGTTTTCTTTTGATATCCGGCTCTATTTTTTTCTAGCCCTAAAGAATTCTCTTACCAAATCAAATTAAATAAAACTCTATGAATCTATGTTGGCAAATTTTTAAGTAGATCTAAGGTCTATGCATGTTTTATGGAACTTAGTGCAATTGTAGCATAATAAAAATGAACTTTTTGTAAGATAAAAATTATGCACATGCAAATCAATGAAAAATACAAGAAGATCTATGTTTTAAATGTAAACTTTGGAATCAAAGAGTATCTATCTCGAGGTCAAGGGCATATATTTAGGTTATGACGTTAGTACAACTACAGTTTTAAACATAATATTAATTATTTCACCCTCGATTAATATTCAAAGGATTTACCTACACTAAAAAATTAAAATCTTTAAAATGTACTCCATTCGTCTGATTTAATTTCTTGAAGATTTCAGCCGATCTTATTCGATTTTAATAAAAGTAACTAATAAATTTGAAAAATAAGTTGAACACTTATAATCATACAATTATTAGCTTTCACTATGGACCATCTTTCACACGCCACTCTTTTATTTGTTTATTTATTTATTTAATTTAAAGGGGACCAGATTTGGAAGCATATTGATTGGACTGTCCCTTCCTTTGGGTCAATTGGGTGGATTATTTGCTTCTTGGCCATTTCTAACCATATATGTGGGGTATTTTTGTTTTTTCACTGTTTCAGTGATTATGTGTTTGGTCAGGGAATAAACATTTTTTGAGAAAATTATTTTTTAAGGAAAAATTATTTGACAAGTTTTTTTCTCAAAAGAATATTACTAATCATTAAGATTCTTAAAATTGAAAGAGGAAAGAGTAGATCTAGCGGATGACATTGTTTGGTGAGTGGCGGAGGACAGTGTGGTGGTGGAAAGGGGGCAGGAGGTGAGGAAGTAGCAACATTCAAGAGGGTGGCACGATGGAGGTTGACGAGGGTGGCATGTCGGGTGGGAGGAGGCGGAGGGTTTGGGGAATAGGGGTTGGCAAGGTTGGGTGGGCTGTGTGGGTGAGGGTTAGAATGGAGAGTGACTGAGTGAGCAGGAATTTTTCTTCGAAAGTAACGAAAACTATTTCTTCTATTTTTTTTTTAGAGAATGTTGTTCTACCACTTATATTATCGAAGGGATCCTTGTTGATATGTTGTTTGTCTGAGGAAGCCGTTGCTCATCGCAACCAAAGCTCATAGTTTTTTCACTATCGATTTGGTTCAGATTTCAGAATAATACCTTATCAGTATTCTTATTTCTTACCCTCTCTAAGATCATCCGTCCCTGACTCCTTATCGTTGTCAGTTGTATTTGACATTGTTTTTTATCCGTAAATACTTCTAATAATAATGTTTCCTCCAACAAAAGTAATAATATTAAAATTAGATTTAAATGAAAAAACTGAGGTCAAAATTGAATATCCCATGCTGGATTCTCAATTTTATCTTTTACTCCGCTTTTTTATTTTTTTTTCAAGGTGTAGATTTTTGTCTTTGTTGCGAGGAAAACAAAATGGTAAAGTAATTACAAATCTTCTCAGTGAAGAAATCTCAAGTCCAGAAGAGAAGGAGAAGAAGAGGGTAATGTCGGCGTTTCTTAACGACCTGCTGTCCAAACGGACCTCGGTTTTCGGGTTGCGGTTATGGGTCGTTCTGGGGATCAGTGTCGGCGCTGCAATTGTGCTCCTCCTCTTCTTTCTCTCCCTCTGGTTCACCTCCCGCCGCAACCACGCCGCCGTCAACAAGTCATCTTATACCACTAATCTTCTTCTTGCTCACAAAACCCCCGCCGCAATCAAGGAGACTCGGGCTTCCCGACCCGACCCGTCAAAAGCCCGCTCCCAGAATCCCGCACATCCCCTACCCGACCCGGTTCAGGAGTCTGAGGAGGCCAGGCGCAGCTCGGGCGGGCAGCGGATGGTTAAAATAGACATCGGGAAGGGCCACAGGATTTCGTACCCGGGCAGCGGCGGATCGAGGCACGAGAGCGGAGAGTCACGGTCTGGCGGAGATCCGTCGGCCTCCGCCGCCTCCTCCGCGCCGGAGGTGTCTCACTTGGGCTGGGGCCATTGGTACACTCTGAGAGAGCTTGAGATTTCCACCAATGGGTTTGCCGATGAGCGTGTGGTTGGTGAGGGTGGCTATGGCATTGTTTACCGTGGAATTCTTGATGATAACACCACCATTGCTGTCAAGAATCTGCTCAATAACAGGTGAACATTTCAATTCTATGACCTAACAAAATCCATGTCTGCTCAATAATACCACCATTGATAATACTTCTTCTTCTTCATTACATTGATTCTCTAGATTCGACGAAGCTTTCTTGTTTTTTTTTTCAGGGGACAAGCTGAGAGGGAGTTTAAGGTTGAAGTGGAAGCAATTGGGCGTGTTCGGCACAAGAGTTTGGTGAGATTGCTTGGATATTGCGCAGAGGGAGCACATAGGTAACTTTGAATTTATATATAGTAAGAACCCCTTTGGTAATGCTAAAATGTTTGGAGTGTGTCTAAATTTGGGAACTTTAGTTTAGTTGTGATTAAATGGCTTGAATGCACTGAATTACATTTAAGATATACTACATATATCATTAATAAATCATTGAAAACTATCTAAGAAATCTATGTCGAAATGACATCTTCATCCACCTTCACAAATCACAACGGGCTTTATGAATTATTATAGGTTGAGGTTTTTAAGTTGTTCTTCAATTCTGTGCTAATTATCTTATCACAGTTTTCTGCCCTTGGAATTTCATATCTTAGGATGCTAGTGTATGAGTATGTAAACAATGGAAACTTGGAGCAGTGGCTCCATGGAGATGTGGGACCCTGCAGTCCTCTTACCTGGGAAATTCGAATGAATATCATCCTTGGATGTGCAAAAGGGTATATATGATTATACATATATGCATACATCTTCTGAATATATTATGGATTCTATTTTGTTTGATCATGGAAGTTTTGATGGGTTCCACAGCTTAACATATCTGCATGAAGGTCTTGAACCCAAGGTTGTTCACCGCGACATCAAATCAAGCAACATTTTGCTTGACAGACAATGGAATCCCAAAGTATCTGACTTTGGCTTGGCCAAGCTCTTGGGTTCAGAGAGGACTTATGTAACTACTCGTGTTATGGGAACATTCGGGTCAGCAAGCAACCTTTGTAATCCCATGCTGATTCCGCGATTGAAACTGACAAGGCTAATTTAATAAATTCAAATTCCTATGATGTTGCAGCTATGTAGCCCCTGAGTATGCCAGTACCGGCATGTTGAATGAAAGAAGCGATGTTTATAGTTTTGGGATTCTTCTGATGGAAATAATTACTGGAAGGATTCCAATGGATTACAAGCGCCCACCTGGAGAGGTTCAAAGATTTGTTCAAGTTTCTTTTTTATATATATATATATATAAATATAAACAATATATAAATGATACACTGTACTTCTTATGCTCTATGTTTCTTAGGTAAAACTTGTTGATTGGATTAAGACAATGGTCTCAAACCGGAACTCGGAGGGTGTTTTAGATCCCAAGTTACCCGAAAACCCTTCTTCAAGAGCATTGAAGCGGGCCCTCCTGGTGGCTCTGCGCTGCGTGGACCCAAATGCTCAGAAGAGGCCGAAGATGAGCCACATCATACACATGCTTGAAGCTGATGACTTCCCCTTCAGAGATGTGAGTTTTGGTCCCCTTATCAGAACTTCATTACTGTGATTTTTAACCACATAAAATCCGTACATATTGCAGAAATGCAAGTCCTCCGTGTAACGCGTCTATGGTTTTTGTGACAGGACAAAAGACTGGGAAGGGATGTTGAAGAGAAGGCGAGAGTCACAGAGAAGGACATAATAGCCGAATCAGGGGATAGTGGCTAGTGTTTTAGGCATATGCCCACACTTGTAAAGGCCGATTGATGAGAACAAAAAATTCTTCAATTGTTACTACTTCTGATATAGACCAGTGTAAATATCATTCATCCCTCTTTGCCTTTGCACATACAATGTTGGCCTTGATGCTGAAGACTTCCTTTTCAACTCATTTCAGTTCTTTCAATATGAATCTGGGCTTACATCAGGCAACATAGAACATGAAGCCTTCCTGCCACGCTTGAACAAGCATCCCAGAAATCTTAATAACAAACTAAAGTTGCGTTCTGTTATGTTTCTTTTCTTCATCTTCAAAGAACACTTCGTTAATATCACCAGCAGCATCTCTGTATGCTCCACTAAGATGCATCAAGAACAAGCCCCAAGAAAAAGCTTTCTCCATGAGCCTAATTTGATCATAAAGTAAAACACAAAACCAATTTAACCCCAAAAAAACAGATTGGCATCCGTATATAAATATACTGTAAGTGAACGTATCATATTTGGACAAGCTCGAGAGTTTGAATATGGTTTATGGCGTGACAAGTGATGAGCCTTGGATGTGGAGGGTGATACATAAAATGAAGGAAATTGGGAAGCATTGAGTTGAGTGATGATGGATTTACATATGCTGGGTTTTTTCAATTTTCATGAATTATTGGTCGAAGAAAAGCAAAAAAAAATGTTTTTTTTGACTTGGCCAAAAAAAAAATGTGCTGGCTGTGGGGTTCGAACCCACGCGCACTTATGTGCAGAAGATCTTAAGTCTTCCCCCTTAACCTCTCGGGCAAACCAGCTCAACGATCTACGTTCTCATTTTTATTTATGTATACATTATTTCTCCTATCTCCTTTTCGTCGTTCTGGTTTAGTGCAATTTGTTTTCTATTTTCTATGAATTAGACTATTATCACACCCGGCATTTTCAATCTCAAATCATTTAATTGCTTTCATATTAAAGATGAGTACATTTGATGGCAATGGACTAAAAGCATACCGTATTACTCCGTATATTTGAATATAAGAAACTAGTAATATGTATCGTTTACGATGTTGAACAAAACTTTAATCCATTCTAATTTTTTCAATGTAGTAATATGTTTTTGGGTTAAATAAAACATATTTCCAAAATGATTTATAATGGAGTATAATACAGTAGAAATGAACGTCACCAAAGTAGAATAAATAATATTTGAGAAATTAAATATATACATGATAAAGTCTTGTTTAGATCTAATTCTTTTGAAAGACTTCTGGTATACAATATTTTGGTATGATTATAATGTTTCCATTGTGCAATGTTTTTAAACAATAACAACTACAAATATAAAATTTTACTCCCAAAAACTTCTTTAGCCTTTCTTTTTTTCTTGGACAACGAGTCTGATAAAGGATACGACATTCTAGCGAGAATTGTTTAAAAATTTGAGACTAAATACCGAGAATGCCACCTCATCATTTTTCCTCCTTTTCCATGGCAAGGCATAGCAAGGCTCCTTGCAAGCCGTGGCAAGCGCGAGCCAATATTTTTCCTTTTTTGTTTTTTTTTTGTAAAAGAAAGAAGTTTTTTTTTTTATTTTTTTAGAGGCAAGCACAGGGGATTAGAGGCACTGTTTTCCTTTTTTAACTCTTTTTTAGTTGTCTTTCTTTTTTCTTTACAATGGATTTTCTTTTTCAAAACAATCTAACCTTTATTTGAGACTAAAAAATATACATTTTTAAACATTAATGTTTTATGTGAAATTATATAATTTAATTTAAAAAATTTAAAAATTAATTTTCTCTTTGCACAATTAAAATCTTTACAAGAAAATGCAATAATTTATATAAAAAAAGCACACATGGACTAATTAAAATATGTCAAAAATGTTAACATTGCCAAAAAAAGATTAGAATTATTTTTATTAATAAAAGGTAAGTCAAATACTCCCTCTGTTCCAAAACGTTCTTCCCAATTCCCCTTTTTCTCCGTCCTAAAACTACCTTCCCATTAGAAAAAAATGACAAAAGACATTAATACCCTCTCATGTATTTACACCAATTATTTTTTAATTCTATATTTTGAATGATTGCAAAAAAAATTTCAAAAAATCCTTTTTAAGGAGGGTAAAATTTGAAGTCAAAGCCAAAAATTAAAAATGGGGAAAAGTCAAACTGAGAAGAACGTTTTAGGACGGAGGGAGTAATTTTAATAATTAAAAAATATTAGAAAGGTGTAAAAATGATAAAAAGAGTGACTTGTCACTGCAAGATATGTCACTCCACTCATGTTCCACATGTTGACTGGACTAGTTTTGATTAGCTGAAATACTCCGCGTCATCGTGTGGCATTCAATTTCTTACTCCACTCATGAATGTATTGATCATTTAGGCCTTGGGGAGTGCTCCATGGTTATCCCTTTTCTCTTTCTTCCAATTCAGCGCCATGTCATTTTTTTCTTTTTTTCCCTTCCCCTTCCGTGGAAATGCCTTCCCCTTTTCCCCTTCTTTTTTTTTATTTTTTACAGCAAAGATTCATCCATTCCTTCACAAGCTCGGTCAATATAATAATATACGCAACAATGATCTAATACGTGCCAATATTGGAAGAACAATATCATCTTAATTATTATTAGTCATGAGTTGGTTACGTGTTGTCAATATATGATGGTGCTGGTACAATTGGCTTCTTGAAAATATATTTTCTTCTTCTTCACGTCATAGTTGACATACATATATAGATTGTTGAAGTGACGCTCCAAGGAGAGCACTTGAGAACCCAGAGCCACCATCCTTGAAGTTCAGGCAAAAACGTCCCCGAAACACTTGGCGAAACAAGTGGTAGGGATAGAGTTTTATTTGTGAGGAGTAACCACCCACAAAAACAAACCTGACTAGAGGAAATTTCCCAAGACTCTCCACATAGCCTCCATAACAAGGCCGGCCATCCTTAGTAGGTCCCAGGGCCTCTCTTTTGCTCATTAATCTATTTATTTCGGCCATGAACACTTTGAATGTACCGCTTTGAAGCACATTTAAGGTAGAACCTACAAGACATTGAGAGGTTATTAGATAGACAGACATATTTAGATTGAGAGGTGTCATGGAAAAATGTACTATAAAATTGTGAGGCCAGGGCAAAATAAGTATCCTACTACTGAAACTGGTTGTCGTCTCACCAGTGTCTATTAGAGCTCCTCCTCTATTGTCTGGAAACCGTCGTATCTCTCGGATCGGGGCATCGAGTTTTTTGTCCCCGATCCATATCTCTTGGATGCTCACATAGTAGTGGCCGCGGTCCACGTACATTGGTGTCCAATTTCCATTTTTCATGAGTGGTTCTCCAAGAACTAATGTGCTGTCTCTCTTCCAATTGTCAATAGGTACATCAAACTCATCTACTGGGAAGCGTTCCAAACAATATGAAAATTCTCTCTCGTAGGCTTGCAACGACAACTGGGACATGAAAGACAATTTGCTTGTCCCGACACCGAATATGCCATTGATTTTCGCAAAATGTTTTTCATTTTCTGAAAAACACGCCAAGTCGGAACACCCAAAGTAAAATTCACCCAAGTTAGTTCCACTGCTACTGAAGAATGTGTCCACCAACATTCTACCAATACTATAACCACTTGCGTACCCTATTTCGTACATACATTGGTTTTCATCGTAATTACACTCTGTGAATAATCGACCCGGATATTCGCAAAAGGGGTGGTCGCATGGAACATTGGGATTCTAGTCTGTTAGCTTTGGATCATAGGTGGTAATTTCAACCCTGCTCGACCCACCACAAATGTTTTGGCAATGTTTGCAATGAACCCACACAAAACTACTACCCGTGTCCATCGCTAAAAACAGGGTATTTGGTTCAAAACCAATGTAAAGCATGACAAGATACGATAAGCTCGTACCTTGAGACATCATACCAGTCACATCTGGTTGTGTTGTGAATTTTCTAGAGCTAAAATTTGATGCTATGATTCTTTTCTCTTCCAAATATGCAATGCGATGCAAAGACATATTCATCTCGCTAGCAACACGATGCTCAAAACTCGTGTTGGGTTTGAACACGGGTGAGTGTTTTGAGCTAAAGAATCGCATTCGTAGCACTACATGATTCTTAGGTTCTTCGCCTGGCTTAACATTTGAGGTGGCTATAAGACTCTTGACATTAGTAGTGTTATAAGTAGGATGTACTCCGTGGGAGGACAAAAGAAAAATAAAGTTAACTAACATTAGGACACCAGACGACATCATGGTTGATGCTTAGAACAAGAATTTAATGTTGAATGCAGATTTTTAATCTTGAACGAAGAAAGAGAAGTGAATTAATAAGGATATATGTCAAAAAAAATTTAACCGAAGATCACACGTATATATAGAAGGGGACATGCATACATAAGTAAGAGAAATTTTAGATAGGGCACACAAGACGCATTTTCAAACAAACTTCAACTTAACTTACTTGATACTCCCTCTCTCCCACAAAACATTACCCATTTTCAATAGTATTTGGTCAAAAAATTACACACTTTGACTACAAACTGTGAGAAAAATATATTGAATTATAGTACTCCATCTGTCCCGCTATATTTGTCCACTTTTGACTTTTGGAACTGTTCATCTAAGCACTTTGACTCATCAAATTCTCTCAATGTATAAGCCTAAATATAGTCATGTGTGATCTTGTTTGATTTGTCTTAACATATACTGTATATTATTAATATATAATTTCTATAATTTTTTAATATACAAATTACAAGATAAAATGGATTAAAGAAGTGCATTGGATGGTGTGCAAAAATGAAAATGGACAAATACTCTAAGACAGAGGTAGTATAAATTTGATATAATAGGATTCATCTTAGAATCTTTTTTTGATATATCAAATTTTTATAACATTTCTTTATTTAGATTATACTCCATCTGTCCTAAAACATTCTTCTCACTTCCCTTTTTTCTCCGTCCTAAAACTACCTTCCCATTAGAAAAAAAGATGACAAATGACATTAATACCCTCATGTATTTACACCAATTATCTTCTAACTCTATATTTTGAATGATTGCAAAAAAAATTTAAAAAATCTTTTTTAAGGAAGGTAAAATTTGAAGTCAAAGCCAAAAATAAAAAATGAGGAAAAGTCAAACTAAGAAGAAAGAATTAGGACGGAGGGAGTATTTAATTTATGGTTAAAGCGTATTATTGTTTGACAAAAAATACATCAAAATGAGTAATGTTTTATGGGACAGAGTGAGTATAATTAAATTCATTGACCTAACAAAATCTAGTAGAGTCTACATAATTTGTGAAGAAATAATAAATAAGGGAAGAAACAAAGAGTGTTTGCATAGAATATCACAAATATATTGAAAAAGTCATTATGTTTTAATCATATTTAAGTAAATTTCTCTATTAAAAAACTACTTTCACTTCACTAATTCATTATCTAACTACCTATCACATCATATATTTTTATTAATAATCTACCTACAAGTGGGAATTAAACACACAACGCACACAAATATCTGAGAGAATCAAGAGAGAACAGAACAGAAACGATCCACAAAAATTTAACGTGGTTCGGTTTTTCTAACTCAAGGATGCAACATTAGAAGTTTTATTCATTTGTCATGTCTCAGAGAATTACAAGTACAAGATTTATATTAAGAGAAACTTAGGGCTACAAAGCTCGTTCCCCAAGAAACAAAGACGTACGGGCTAATAAGAAGACAGGTCAATCTAAGTAAAACTCAAAAATATCTTGCCTCCACAAACCCGACAATTTTTAATCATCACATCAAAAATATTTTTGAAAAATCAATAAAAAAATCTCTCCCTTAATTTTTCCTAAAAGTCAAAACAGGAAACCTCTTTATGAGACTGAGGAAGTATAACATATACGTAGTACCTTGTAAAATATAAAATTAAATTATGCAAACGAACAACTACCAAAATGTACATGCAGTAGCAATAGCTAGAGGTGAGCAAGTATCAAGCTGTTTACGAAATTTCTTGGAAAACCTAAGATTACTGAACTGAAAAATACCCCGAATTGAAAAATATCGAACCGATAAAACACCAAAAAAGAACCATAGTATATCGAACTGAATGGACGGTCCGGTATTTAGGACAAGTAAAATTTAACTTCTCTTACAAAAAAATATGAATCGAACATTAATACGAATATATTAAAAATCATAATGTTTTTATATTTATTCATTAAATAATAAATTGATTTTGAAAATTTGGTTCAAGTGTAGATGAATTAAATAATCTCCTATTTAAATAATCAGTTATTTTAATTTTAATTTTTTGTAGATAAATATAAAATATAGAAACGTTTGAAATATTATTTTGTAATCATTTGTTCTCTTTTTTGTGTGAAATACTACGGTCTACGTATAATTAAAACTAAGTTTTATAGATATTTCTTGCATATTACTACGTATTATTTACTCTGTATTTTTTAATTTTTTATCATTTCTTATTGGATTGTAATTTGGATTTTAAATAAAGAATTTTATGCATTTCGAAGTGTAAACTAGGATGAATATATATATATTATCTCAATATTTGCTGAAACCGAACCATACTGAATCGATACTTCAAAATTAGAATTGATACAATGTAAAATCTCATGCCAGACTGAAATATTTGACATGCATGGTATCGATACGAGCCAAACATTATAACAGGCTCACTCCTGGCAGTGTCCTTCAGGGGGCCAAGAAATGTGGCTGAACAGTTTCTAAACCACTCCTTATTACGGGAGACATGCAAGAAATGTGGTTGAACAGTTTCTAAACCATTCCCTACCGGAGGCACAAGGAGCATGATTGCAAGAAATAATGTGGCTGAACAGTTTCTAAACCACTCCCTACCAGAGATAAAAGGAGCAAGATTGCAGGAACCGTGCGCCTACCCTTCATTGTGCTCTATTTTGGGGGGGGGGGGACTTCAGGGGTCCGGGGGTAGCGACTCCGGGTTTTTTTTAAAGATAACATTAAATGATTTAAAAATATTTATTTCAAAGAATCAAATTATTCACAAAAAAATATAAAAATAAAATGTTATTATTATTAAGTACTCGTATATACGTACAAATGTTAGTTCTTTTTCAAAAAAAAATAGAGACGGACGGGGAGAAAGTTCATACATAATCCAACAAATTTAGATCAACCAATGAACCAAAGACGAAGTAGTAATCGATTAATTATAGGTGGGCAAGGTGATGGAGAGGTAACCATAGAATATCAATGTAGGATCGGTCATACGGAGTATCATATACTCCCTCCGTCTCATTCGTTAGTCCCATTTCAAAAAAATTGCGTCCATTAAAGTCCGTCTCAATTCTATTAAAAAATTATTTTTACTTACCTGTTATTTTTTCATACTCTACCAATGAAATCATACATGTTTTTAATAATATACTCATGACATCATACTTTTACTCATCACATCTAGGGTATTTTTGGAAAATCAAAACAAATCTTATTTTATCACTTTAGCCGAATCGTCCCAATCTTTATGGTACGGAGGGAGTATATGAGAATGGAGGAGGCTTATGATGATGATGAGGATGGGAAGCAAGGTCGTCGTTGAGCATCCCCATCCTGGATCATCATCATCATCCTAGTCTCCATCTCTTTGGGGTTGCTCAAGACGAAGAGGGCATAACCAGAGTACGCAGAGTAGTCCCACAAGTGGTCATGTATTGGTGAGAAGGACTCCACCCACCCGCTCCCTTCCGTCGTCAGTCCCACGTAACAGAGATCCATGTGCCAACGCCCCCTCGCCAATGATCTCACCATTCCAACCCTGATCTCCTCCTCCTCCCCAATCCCCTCTCCTCCTCCTCCCAGCTTCTCCAGGGCGCCCTCCAGGACGATTTTAACCTCCTCGAATATCACCCGGCACTCGCCCCAGTTGCTTTTGATCTCATCGTAACGAGGTTCTTCTGGGAACTCGCTTGGGCGAGGAGCAGTCATTAGCCGCGGCGATGTTCGGAAGGATTTTAAGAGAGTTATCAGATGATCGTAGTCCGGACGCAGCCGGAAACCTGATGATGTCAGCGGCAACGAGGACCGCAGCGCCGACAGCTCTGAGGCGGCCAGCTCCAAGTTGCGCTTGGCCAACGCCAGGGGACTGCTGACGTCAGCTGCCGTCATCTTCCCCTCCAGCTTGGTATTCCCGCACGCGGCTGGGAATACCTGCATGGAACACAGAACTTTCCTCACGGCGGAAGAATTAACCGCCACCCTCTCAGTAGGCGGCAACCACGGCGGCGCCGTCCTAGCCCCCTCGGCCGACGCGGCCATGTAAACCAGGCATGACCAAAGGATGATGAGTAGTAGTGTCCATAGATGAATTTGTTGGCCTCTGCTAAAAACGTGATGATGATGATGATGATGATATGCCACATAATTACTTGGTAGCCTCATCCTCATATATGCTCGCCTTGTAATTAATCAGAATTCCTATACATATTTAGAAACAAACACTTAAAATTATTATGCCAGGTGCATGAGTAATCCCATTATCAAAAGTCTTTGTTCCCAATAATAAAAGAGAGAATGAAAAAAAAAAAAAAACAAACTTGGAAGACGATTATAGTGTCAAAATATATACCCTATTGCAATCAATTGATAACATATACTCCTCTCTCTCTCCTTCTTTGTCCCACAAAGTCCTTTTCATTTTCATTAAAAACCCATTTTTAATTTTTTTACTCCTTATTACGGAGTAATTCGTACCCTATATATCACATCATACTCCCTCTGTCCCAGCATATTTGTTCAGTTTGACTTTTTTAGTCAAACTTGACAAACTTTGAACTTCAATTAAATAAAAATCATAATGTATTTTAATATAAAAATGACTTTATTGGATTTATCGTATTAAGAACTTTCAAAATTGTATTTCATTATGCTAATATGCAATATAAATTGAAAGTAATTGAAGTGCAAAGTTTGTCTAGTTTGACTCGAAAAAATCAAACTGAACAAATACACTGAGATGGTGGTAGTACATTTTTACTAATAGTCTACACATCACATACTACCTCCGTCCCAGAGTATTTGTCTACTTTCATTTTTGCACACCATCCAATACACTTCTTTAATCCATTTTATCTTGTAATTTGTATATTAAAAAATTATAGAAATTATATATTAATAATCTATATGTTAAGACAAATCAAACAAGTTCACACATGACTACATTTAGGCTTACACATTGAGAGAATTTGATGAGTCAAAGTACTTAGATGAACAGTTTTAAAAGTCAAAAGTGGACGAATATAACGGGACGGAGGGAGTATTACTTATAGCCATTATATCAGGTGTATTTTTGAAATATCAAACCTAAAAATATCTCTTTATTAATTTTCTTAAAAATCAAAATGGGAAGAACTTTAAGAAACAACAGAGAAGATGAAGAAATATAATAAAATAAAGAAGATGAAATCGATACGGAGTAATTTCTAATCTACACTGTAGTAGTTATCCATAAATTGAAAAAAAAAAAGAAAGCGTGCTCTGATCTTTTTCCCCTAGGTCTACGAAAGAAGATGTAGGTTATCGATGATTTAATTTTATAAAAAAAACGTTGAAATTGATAATTTATAATTGCTCCGTAGTGATCCATAATTTAAAAGAAAGAAAGAGAGAGAGGTACCTGCGCTTCTTTTGAGTGATATGGAAGAAGATCAAGGTATAGATGATTATAGATCTATATATATATATATATCTATATATATGTCTATACATATATACTCCGATCCGTATAGAATTGGGAGTATTTGGTAATAATGAGTTCTTTATGGTGTAGGGCTTTTTCGTTTCCTCTATATTTTTTTTCCTTTTTATTTTTATTTTGTTAACTAGACTAGGAATTGGCGTCATTAGGATAGTTTGATACAATGAGTGTTCGCCACGTGTCTTGAAAATCTCCCGGGAGAAAGATCAAAGTAGTACTAAAACATTGAAATTATACCAAAATAGGACTTTCATGTTTTTATTCCTGAAATAGGACTTACATTACCAAACATGGTCATACACATTACCAAAAAAGTATAGTAATGTGCACATGTACACTGCCACATTACCACAGCGCAAAGTCACATTACCACAGTGCAAAGTCCTATTTCGGAAAAAAAACATGAAAGTCCTATTTTGATACTTTTCTCTATGTTTTAGTCCTATTTAGGATGATTTCTAAAATCTCCCCAACTTTTCTACTCCCTTCGTCCCAAATTATTTGCAACATTTCGAACGACGTGCAAAATATCATTTCTTTTAAAATTATTATATTTTCAAATTGGTAGAGTAATAAAAAGTAAAAATTACACCATTCAAAAGTATATGAAAAGTTCTACAAAACAAGATGCGACAAGAATATTTTATTTTATTAAATGGTCAACCAAAATGAATAAACAAACAAAAGTTATCGAGAGTCCAAAACAATAACCGTGACATTCTTATGGGACAGAGGGAGTACTTATTTGGAAGTCTACTCCCGTGGGGATAAACGAGAAATAAATAGAGAGATGCAAAATAGTCTAAAATAATTTAAATAGTAAGATTTAATGTAAGAACTTGTGACTATTTTGTTTGTTGCATTACTCAATTTTATTCAGTTGTCGTTTTTACAGTTATGCTTCCTCCATCCCACAAAATGTTTGTTTCTTTTGGATTGATCAATAACAGTCCATTTTTATGTAAAAGAAGGTGATTATAATGGAAACTTCCTTTGATAAAAAAAACAGGCATAAAGTCTCAACATTCTAATCTTTTGGAGGAAAATGCTTATTGTCCATAAACCAAAAAGAAGTGATTATACCAAAAGTATATATAGAGTAGCATGTTATTTGTTTGGAAAAATCTTATCCTCCATTTAGTGTTCAAAGAAGACCTTCAATACTACCTTTTTTTTGAATGCTATTGACTCTATTATAAGGTAGTATCTGTTCATACTATTCTCAAGCTAATGACTAATGACGCACAAAAATACTACCTAAAAAAACTGATCCTAAATGCTAGAAAGAAAATAATTATAATTTTTACGTGTATTACTTTATCTAATACTCCACATCTTACAAGACAGCAAAAGCTTTTATTCATATCAACTTTTGTTTTGTAGAATTTTTATGCATGTTTTAAATATATAAAATGTATTTCGAAATTTAGTGGGGTTCTAGTGACACCGGAGTACGGTGACACTTCGGTGCCACTGTCATTTTGGGACACTTCCAGAGATCCATTCGTAAAATTGACGATTCATATGCCCCCTAACCCACCCCTAAACCCCCCACCCCAATCCCAACCCCGCTGTAAGCCCCCCCACAAAATGTGTGGCTATTATGCATTGAGTTATACGAATAAAAATTAATGACCTAAAAGACTTAGAGTCAATGACCCATGAAACAGTGCAAAGGCATCTAGGATTCTGACAAAGGCTTATTGTCTATTGAGTCTATGGAGGAAAATACTCTGGGATATGCTAGGGGTACACCTTTGATGTACCTCAAATGTACACAACCCCCCTCTTTACCATTCATTTTATTTTATTTTTATTTTGTATTTCTTTTTGAATTTTTCTTGCCTTTTTTGTAGTGATGGAGGGGGTGGGGAATATTTGGGGTACACTTTTGATGTACCCCTAGCATTTTCCAAATACTCTAAATCAAATCAATGGTAAAGTTGGGAAAAGAAGGCTCAATGCTCATAAACAACATGATGCTAAGAGAAGGAATATGAGAGTGTTCCTTGCTGATGCATTTTAAAATTACTTTCGCTAAAAAAAAGTATTTTAAATGTTCTAATGCTACATAAAAGGTGAAAGCCCAACATCTTATATTCAGAGATTAAACAATTTGCTAGGAACTTCCTTGAATAGATAGAATGCATAACTTTTTCCTTAGCTTTTACCTTCAGGCACTTGGCCGAAATTAGATGAGTGTGAATGCTCCATTATCGAATAACAAAGTTCCTGAAACAACACCACAAAGAATTTGACACATATTCCATTTTCTTTTTTCATAGCGGACACATATATCTTCAATATATATGTGTGAATGATTTCTCGCAACCAATTCAATACCTCTACAAAATCAATATTTCTATACTGCATTTATATCTCAACTATGAACGGAAGTTGGTGAAATGGGTTAAAGTTTTTGGCTGATGATTTACATTAGCTAAATAAGTTGAGCAGGAAAAATGAACTCGAAAGAAAGACTACTACTTCGCAAAAGGAGGAGTTAAAGAAAGTTGAAGTGTACGTTGTTGTCTGGCGTCTGGATTGACGTTTTTGTGCCGTGCATTTCCAAATCTTCTCCTTGCGGTTTTGGTTGATGGGCCCAAATGTGTTCTTCAACCTTGGCCTTAAGCTCAGGACAAAACACATGTTACATGGTAGGGGAAGTTGGGAACGTCCTTGCTTTCAATACTCTTCCGTCGCCTACCATGTAACATTGACCAAATGACAATAGAACTCAAGGTTTGAGGGATCTTTTCAGCCGCTGTGTTCTGGAGATTAACAGAACTGAAAAAGCCATTAAAAAAACACATGTGAATTAGTATCAATTCAATACAATGAATCTGAAAAAATGTGACGCAGAGAGCTACTAACAATGGGATGGGAAGTTGGGAACAATCTAAACATTATTAATTAAGATGCATTGTTGAAGCAATGAATGGAGCAATCTACACCAATTAAAAAAAAAAAATAGAAGTCCAGAGACTCAAAGCTTCCCCACAAAAACTAAGATGCATTGTTGTAAATAGGACTGTTATCAAAATAACACACCTCTTTAATATAAGCCATTACAAAAAAAAAATCAATGACACAGTTAGAAGTTGTATGTACAAAGGAGTACAACTTAATAACCATTGAGAGTTCCTGCACCAAACATAACATCAAGGTGAATAATCATTGAGAGTTCTTTGTCTGATTCTTTGTAGAAGTCATGGCATGGAAAAAACAGTGATTTCCCTTAAATAACAATATAAGAGGAAACCCAGACCCTACTGTAGTGGGATTCACCTGGGTTGTTGTTGTTGTTATAAGAGGAAGATGCATGTTTACTCCTGCGTCCAACCAGTGGGTGTGCTTCTTTATAATATGTGTCATCATCATCATCATCATCATCATCAATAGATGAACTTCTACTGTATGATTTAAAAAGCCAAAACAAAGTTTTCTTTTGGGGGCAGAAAGAGTACCACCTGCATACTACCCTCAAGCAAATCCTAATAGAGTGAAACCCAATAGCAGGTAATTAAGGGTTACATAATAATACCAACACGAGAAATCTTATTTTTAATAAAGCAAGTAACACTCAAAAATATTACATCCTGCCTGACAACGTTGATTTCCCAGGATTTGATATGCACTTCCCTTCTGGTTCATCATTCGCTTTCTCCAGCTCAGCAGCCTGAACACACTCCGCTTCAAGAGGTCCACCACCAATTATGACGGAGTCCCATGATGCCTAATGTATATGACATCCTAAACAAATGGTAGAAGCCCTTCCAGAATGGCTTTAATCCCCCCCCCCCGCCCGTCTTTCAACTCATTTGGGATCTCCCTAACTTCTCTTGGATGTGAAACCAATTTTGCATTTCTTGTAAAACCAACCCAAATTACTACCAAATATACTTCTAGTGAAGTTCAATTCATAAAGAAAAAATGCATTTGATTTTATAACCGAAGATAAAAGTGAAAATGGAGGCCTATGAGACCCAACTGGGTTCAGGACATCAATGTCAATATTGTCGTCTAAAAGGAGGGCTAACAGAATCAGGTACTTTAGTTATGCAGGACAAATACATCAAAAACACATATCAGATACACACAAAGGTTAGAAAGACAGCACGTATCAGTCTTTATATGACAGAAGAATATTGAAGATTCCACTAGAAGTGGCATTGTAATAATAATAATAATAATAATAATAATAATAATAATAATAATAATAATAATAATAATAATAATAATAATAATAATAATAATAATAGGGGAGCTATGTGACAAAGGACTGCTCCCACATACTTCTATCTTCTTTACTGGAATGATCTTGCATTGAGATCCCCAGAATTTGCTTCAGCTTTACACACTGCAATCTTTAGAATTCCCTCCAATAAGATCATCAGTTTGAAATGTTCCAAACCCAATCAACCTGTTAGTAACTTTGTTTATCTTGATAACCAATATATTTATGTCCTCCATTCCACCATTATTATTCAATCCTTGTCATTCTCCTTCACCACTTTTCATGTCTTTCTCTGGGATTTTCATGTGAAGTACAAGCTCAAATTCACCTGTAGAAGATTAAATTCTAACACTAACAAATTTTTTATGTTTCTTAAAAAGTTTTAATATTTCCCCTCAAATCTTGAGTCTACATGTGATATCACTTTCACATCTTAATTTTAACTTAAGTTTAGAGTGTGATATTTGGAGTCTGAATCTGAGATCCAAAACCATTCCTAATTTATTAAAAAGGCCTAATGTATTCGAGATAAAGTAAAAGAAAAAAGGATATCAAAGATTGAATATACCCTGTAAAAGAATGCTATATCAGTAGCATTTTTGTTTGTTTTATTAGAGTTGAGTGGCATTATATAACGAACAGTTAAGAAATTGAATCCACGGCATAAACAAGAAACATCAAATTGCATAACAATTCTCCCTTAATTGATAATAAACAAAACACACAATTACACTGCCTAAAATAATCAAGGCATCCTCATCACATTAATATTCTTCATAAGAATCTTCTCTATAAAATTACAACCTAAAAAAGAACAAAGGCCAAAAATGCATAAAGCAATCTAATCTATAAAGCCATATCTCATATAGACCAAATCCCTATTAAAACATTGGACACTGCCATACTGAATAACAAAAGACTACCAAATGAAGGGGTATCTTCACTCAACAAGGGCAATAAGGGGAAGGGCAGTTTTCTTATTCCCATTTCAAATGTCGCGCAGTTGCTCTTATCACTTCTTTGACAATTCCTACAACCATAAAAACTGCTTTTTTCAATCTTTTGAGAATTTCTACCAGCAGAAAAACGACCAAGAAGACAGATAACCCAAGAAATAGATAAACGGTCCGTGTCGTAAAAACGGAGGATCCTACATAAGAGATAAAAATATGTGGATTGCCCTCAAAGGAAGAGGGATAGAAAGAAGCAAAGTGACCCATCTTTCAAATCAATCCAGATAATCCATTATAAGAGAGATCAAGAGTTGATAAACTCCGCATTTTGGCCAAGGAGTCTGGAATAGTCCCAGTTACGTTATTTTGAGAGAGATTTAGGTACTCCATACGAGTAATCTAGGTAAGAATTTCACCAGAAAAATTATTGCTAGACAAATCCATTGCCTGGAGGTTCTTTAGATGCCCTACTTTTGGCAGAATCACTCCGGTGAAACGATTGCAGCCCATATTTAGATGATGGAGATGCCTCATCCGGTAGATTTCAGCAGGATTGCCGGTCAACTTGTTTCCGTAGAAGTCCAGTACTTCAAGCCGGAAAGTGGAAGAAGCCTCTTATGAAACACTAGGGTAAAACTATTGTATGAAAGGTTGAGATATCTTAGATGACATGTACCTGATATGCTCAGAGGAATACGGCCGGAAATGTTATTCATAGAGAGGGATAAGTCGACAATCGATCTGAGCAGGCCGATAGAAGGGGATAGGACGCCCGTGAGATTGAAGTTAGAGAGATGTGTGTGTTTGATTTTTTAAAAAAATCAGATCAATTGTGGACTTATCCCTCACTTTAAAAAATCAAGCACACACATCTCTCCAACTTCAATCTCACGGGCGTCCTATCGCCTTCCATCGGCATGGTCAGATCGATTGTGGACTTATCCCTCTCTATGAATAACACTTCCGGTCGTATTCCTCCGAGCATATCAGGTATAGGTCATCTAAGATATCTCAACCTTTCATACAATAGTTTTACCTCAGTGTTTCATAAGAGGCTTCTGCGAATTTCCCGGCTTGAAGTATTGGACTTCTACGGAAACAAGTTGACCGGCAATGTGCCTGCTGAAATCTACCGGATGAGACATCTCCGCCATCTAAATTTGGACTGCAATCGTTTTACCGGAGTGATTCCGCCAAAAATAGGGAATCTAAAGAACTTCCAGGCAATGGATTTGACCCAGCAATAATTTTTCTGGTGAAATTCTTACCCAGATTACTCGTATGGAGTACCTAAAGTACCTAAATCTCTCTCGAAATAACCTAACTAGGACTATTCCAGACTCCTTGGCCAAAATGTGAAGTTTATCAACTCTTAATCTCTCCAATAATGGATTTTCTGGATTGATTCGAAAGACGGGTCACTTTGCTTCTTTCTATCCCTATTCCTTTGAAGGCAATCCACATATTTTTATCTCTTATGTAAGGTCCTCCATTCTTACGACACGGACCGTTTATCTATTTCTTGGGTTATCTGTCTTCTTTGTCGTTGAAATTCTCAAAAGATTGAAAAAAGCAATATTTCTAGTTGTAGGAATTGTCAAAGAAGTGATAGGAGCAACTGCACGACAGTTGAAATGGGAATAAGAAAACTCCCCTTCCCCTTACTGCCCTTGTTGAGTGAAGATACCCTTCATTTGGTAGTCTTTTGTTATTCAGTATGGCTGTGTTCAATGTTTTAATAGGGATTTGGTCTATATGAGATATGGCTTTATAGATTAGATTGCTTTATGCATTTTTGGCCTTTGTTCTTTTTTAGGCTGTAATTTTATGGCAAAGATTCCTATGAAAAATATCAATGTGATGATGATGCCTTGATTATCAATTATGTGTTTTGTTTATTATCAATCAAGGGAGAATTGATAATAACAAAGGCCAAAAATGCATAAAGCAATATAATCATTAAAGCCATATCTCAAGATCAAATCCCTATTAAAACATTGGAGACAGCCACACTTTCATGAAACTGTATTTTTGCTAAATCACTGATCACTACTATTGCGAAGATCAAGCATCCTTTTCTTATTTGTAAAACATGTTATGAAGGCTGAAAATTCAGCAACATCAACCACATATTATATCCATTCACAACCTCAAAATTATCAATTTCAAGGCTGAAAATTCGAAATCTATGGGGATGTTAGAAGTCCTTACCATTCCGATTGAGCTAGCGTTTTTTAAGCCAAAGTTCCCGCAATCAAAATCAATTCACGACCGCAAAACCTGGTAACCTCGCCGGAAACGCTATTGGGAGCCAAGGTTCCTGCGGTCGGGAAACCCTAAGTCACGTTTCGGTTCGCGAATCTCCATATCTCTCGTCACTCCGATCGCCTCTGCGTCAGTGTGTGAACTCACCGGAGACGCCCTTGTCAGAATCACGACGGCCTAGTGCTCTGCTCCTTTTCGTCTCGCTTTTCTCTGCGCGTATTTTCGTCGAGTGCGAGACGGGGAGTAGCTAAAATACTCCTGAATGATACTCCTTCCCTCCCACTCTTTTGTCCCGCTCCCATTTTTGCACATATCCAATACACTTCTTTAATCCATTTTATTTTATAATTTGTATATTAAAAAATTATAAAAATTATATATTAATAATCTATATGTTAAGACACATCAAACAAGATCACACATGACTATTTTTAGACTTACACATTGAGAGAATTTGATGAGTCAAAGTGCTTAGATAAACAGTTTCAAAAATCAAAACTCGACAAAAAGAGTGGGACGGAGGTAGTAATACTCCGCATTAGATTCCTTCCGAGTTCTTGTTTATTTTTTATTTTTTGTAATCAAAATTATTCCATAATAGATTTGATAACAAAATAAATAAAATTAATACTCGTAATAGATATTGATATGAAAAATAATTTTGTTAGATTTATCTTGTCAATTTTTTTAAAATATATTATTTTATTTGATTTAGAAATTATATAATTTTTATGAATTATAAATCAAAAATTGATATCTATGAACTGTCAAAAGTCAAAACTAAACAAACCTTTTAGACGTAATTGTTTCTATTACGATTTTTCGATAGCTTTTGCTTGTTAGTATACTTTCATTAGTAATTTGATACATAAATTTACATAATTTTTTACATATACTTTTAAACGATATAATTTTTATTTTTATTTCTATACATATTTGATATTAAAATAATTTTAAACATGATGGAAATTTACACGTTGTTGGGAGTGTGACATTCAATATGGGACGGGGGAAGTAAGTCTTTTTTAATAAATACGGAGTAGTTATTTTAATTAATTGTAGGTAAAATTAGGCATAATACCGATTGATAAAAATTGTTGCTAAATCTATAAGATATAGCGATAGATATTTTTTTCTGTGAGTCAAACACTTTTTGCCAACGAATAATATTATTTGTTGGTAATATTTTTTTTAGCGACAAATAATGGTTTTGTCTCTAAGGATCTAGAAAAATCACCCTAAATAAGATTAAAACATTGAAAAAAATACCAAAATATGATTTCCATGTTTTTATTTTCGAAATAAAAGTTGGCATTGTGGTAATGTGGAGGTATTGTGGCATTGCACACGTGCACATTATTATACTTTTTGTTAATGTACATGACCATGTTTGCTAATGTAAATGCATTAGAATTCCTATTTCGAAAATAAAATATAATTCATATTTTTATATATTTTTAATGTTTTATTCCTATTTTAGTTTTTTTCCCAAGGATCTATCGTTGTTATTCTCTTGTTCTGTAGTGACTAACTAATTATGATTGTTACTTATAATAAAAAGAGTTGAGCCAGTTACTTAGGCCTCGTTTGACATCAGCGTTAAAGATTAGCGTCAGCGTTTTGAAAAAGCTATCCGACGGTAGCTTTTAGCGTTAGCGTTTTTAGAATTAATCTACACCATTAAAATTTTATCCAAAACGCTAACACTAATCGAAAACGTAGTTCCCAAACAAGGCCTTAAATACCATCGTGTAGTGACCGAATTGAAATAATTGAATGAATGAATTTGTGTAATTGTACTGTATGGGTTTGTCGAATTTTATCACATTAATTTAACGAGCAAATAGTGCACGTTTATACTGCCTCCCCCCACAAGAGATACTACGTACTTGGTCCGTCCCTGAGTGTTTGTCCACATTTGACTTTTAGAACTGCTCATTTAAGCACTTTGACTCATCAAATTCTCTCAATGTGTAAGCCTAAAAATAGTCATGTGGGATCTTGTTTGATTTATCTTAATATATAGATTATTAATATATAATTTTTACTTCACGTATAATTTTTTAATATACAAATTACAAGATAAAATGGATTAAAGAAGTGCATTGGATGGTGTGCAAAAATGAAAGTGACAAACACTCAGGGACGAAGGGAGTATTACTTTTCGAACAGCGTGTGAAATCTTATCATAGATCATTTTAAAATTATTGTAATTATATATTGGTATAAAATAAAATATACTCTCTCCGTCCTAAAAATTTCTTCCCAGAGCACTATTCCAACTTCAAGGGAATTCATATTTATTTGTGTTTTTTCATGGCCTGTATGATAAAATAAAATATTCTTGTCACCACTTGTTTTGTTGAACTTTTGATGTAGTTTTTAAATATGTATGTTTTATTTTTTATTTCTATACCAATATTTAAATAAAATAGATTGAAAAAACTTGGGATTTTTCTTCGTTTTGCGCAAAGGGAAGAAAGATATAGGATGGAGGGAGTACAAAGTTTTACAAACACTTCAAAAATCGGTTGGATCTGCCACAGACAAATTTCATGGCAGATTTTGATTTAACTATGGATGTGCAATGAAACCAGCCTGTGGCAAAAAAAAATTGGCAGATTCCAAATCTGCCATGGATCTGCAACGGACATTTGCACCTTTTATACCACAAATTTTCAGCTACGGAGAGAAATTCCATGGCAGATCTACCACAAAATCTACAACTGATAATTCCATTGCAGATTCGTCACGGAGTATTAATTATCTCAAGGAGTCATTACAAAAATATATAAATGTCATGAAGATACTTGACATAAATGATACAATTTCATACTCTCTTATGCGTACTAAATGAAAGACTTTATTCTAGACTATCAGTGCGCCTTGAAAGGCACTCCACGTCTCCACCACTTTGAAATGAAATCTGTTTTATCGATCTTTATCACATGCCACATCTTTAGCTTGATCATTCGACATTTGAGCATACACGGCTATAATAGAGATGGTAGAGTATGTTCTCTGTGTATTGACGTGGTACAATTGCCTCATCTGAATCTAGATTCTCTCCACTTGTTCAATTCCTTTGCCGTTTTCAATAGCCCTTTTTTGTTTTCGTGTTTTAATTTTTATTTTCTCTCTCCAATTGTTCTTCTAAAATACGTGTAGTTTTTTTCTCCAATTAGCTAATGTTATTTGAAATAAGTAGACCTTTTTTTATATATTTAAAAATTAAACCCAAATTACCTATAAAATAAAATGCAATATGATTATTTTTTTTAATTCAAATTATTTCAAAATGAAAAATAAAATACTTATATAATTTCTATTTTATCCAAATTTTAAAAATTAAATTAATTAAACTAATACATTAATTAACATATACTCCCTCCGTCCCTGAAAACCTTTCTCCTTTCTTTTTTCATCCGTCTCAAAAAACACTTCTTATTTCTATTAAAAAGTCACTTTTACCCCTTACTTTTTCATACCCTACCTATCACATCATACCTTTTTACTAATAATTTTTCCATCACATCAAGGGATATTTTTGGAAATTCAACACCAAAATATACTTCCCTTAAATCTCTTCAAAAAATAAAACATCCCATGTTTTCCGAGACGGAGTATATGAAAGTATGTCTATTAAAATATATTACCTCCGTCCCGCTATATTCGTCCACTTTTAACTTTTGGAACTGTTCATCTAAGCACTTTGACTTGTCAAATTCTTTTAATGTATAAGTCTAAATATAGTCATGTGTGATCTTGTTTGATTTGTCTTAACATATAGATTATTAATTTACAATTTCTATAATTTTTTTAATATACAAATTACAAGATAAAATGGATTAAAGAAGTGCATTGGATGGTGTGCAAAAATGAAAGTGGACAAATACTCTGGGATGGAAGGAGTAATTTTCACAACAAATAGCAGTTTTTAAACCGCTAAATTTACCAATCAATTTTTGTTAATAGCTAACACAATTTGTCGGTCAAAACAACTAATTCAATCAGCTGTTCAAACCAATCAACACAAACAGTCAATAACTAACAGCCAACTGCTATTCTCTAAACAAAGCCGTAGGCCTTACTGTCAAACATAAAAAGTACTCCATCCGTTTGGAAAAAGCCTTCCCACTTTGACTATAAGGCAAAATAAGGAAGTGTAAAATTATAGTTGACTTCCAATTTTGCCCCTGATGTGATGGGTAAAAGTAAGATGTGATGGATTTATTATTAGAGAAAAAGTATGATGTGATAGGTAGAGTATGGAAAAGTAATGGTAAAAGTGGTTTTTTAATAGAAAGGGAAAGTGTTTTGTTGGAAGTGAAAAAAAATGAAAGAGGAAGTGTTTTTGAGAAACGGAAAGATTATTAGTAAAAAGGTATGATGTGATAGGTAGGATATGAAAAAGTAGTCGGGTTGAAATGTCGGGTTCGGGTCGGGTCGGATTTTAGTAGTCGGGTTCGGTTCGGGTTCGGGTTTCGGGTTGAAATGTCGGGTTCGGGTCGGGTCAGATTTTTTGCTTTAAAGGTCGGGTTTCGGGTCGGGTTCGGGTTTCGGTTTTAAAAGTCGGGTCGGTTTCGGGTATAGTACTATCCGACCCGAACACGACCCGTTGCCATCCCTAATAGTGATTATATCATGTCAATTAGTAATTTAGTGAACATAAACATCATGGTTATGTCTTTAGTTTATGGTCATAATATAGCTAGCTAGATAGATTAAATCAAGTGTTGGAGTTCCCAATATGGCTTTGATACCATGTAAAACTTTGTGTACAAATGGCTTGCTTTCTCATTAATCAACAAGTGTATATATAGACAAGTACAACGGGCTAAGCCCAACAAACAATTAGTACAACATAAACTCAAAACAATACATGACCCGCTAAATCTATTTCAAGTTATAAGTAGCATTTGATACATCTAACACTGTACAAACTCTTGATAAAGAAACACAATGAAATCACATCCTCAGTCTCATTGATCTCACTGTAAAAACACATGGATTCAACATAACATAGCACATATATTGGATTAAAAACACAAGGAAAACAAATCCTTAAATCACATTAAAAGCAAAATACAGATGTGTTTGGATTAAGTTTGGAAAATCAATTCAACATGTTAATTAAGAACTCTAAAACATAGAAGCAGTGTAAATCGGTAGCCTCACATTGCGTTCTGCCTCGTAAA